ATACAAGTCCACGTATACCTGGCATCAGCAGTCCAAAGGGTGATCTGGGATCCCTGACAGTAGTTCAAAACTCTCAACAGTCCTGTCAAAGGGATTGGATGCTTGTGGCTTGAAGTGAGATGGGCTGACTGGAGCTGTCTAGCATGATTATTGCTACATGTAGATGCACTGCCATTTCTGTAGGCTGCTAGTGAAGAGGACACAGATCGTTCAGTTCCTGACTTCTGAGAGGTGGTATGTTGTCCATGCTGTGCAGCACCCAGAGACTGTTGCCCTTGAGTCCTCTATGGCACAGTGGACCTCCTCAGTCTTGGTGCTAAATAACTTTATGTCCTCAAGTGCTAGGTCTTCTCTTAGAGGCCAAAATACCATGGAACCCCAAAGTCTAGCAGCCAAAATAATCACATTGCTATTGGTCACCAAACAAGTGTTGATAACACCTGACATTAGTTGCAAACTACTTTTGCTCCCCCTCCCCAGGTCCTCTGACACCACTGGCCACGTCCACGCAAGCATGGATGTTTGGTTCCCCAGGGACAACTGGCAGTGGGACCCTATGATCCATATGCCCTCTGACATGAGGCAGGTTACCCCAGGTGGGGTAGGCGGGGCTGAAGCCAACACTTATCTGGGCTCCTGGGGCTGCAGCTGTGGTGATGCTGCCACTCAGAGCCTGGCCAGCAGCTGGAGTGTGACTCCTGTCAGCCAAGCTCTGGTTTTGAGTGAAACTCAAACTCACACTGCCCCCTCATTGCTGCTCCACTTTTTTCCTGCAGGTTTTTCTTGACCCCTGGATATCCAGGGACCAGTCCTGCACCTCCACACACTGCTCCCTTGGAGTGAAGAAGACAGCTGAACATGTGGTATGTGGTGTCACATATGTGTCTGCAGTGCTACATACCACATGGCTATGCTTATCTGGACAGCGCCACTGGTGCAAAGTTTAATCAATGGAGAGGTCTCCCTCAAGCCCAAAATCTTGAGTTATAGCAACAGAGACTTGTATTTTGCTATCCTGTTTTGGAGGTTCACAGGAAAGATTTTCTTCCCAGTAGGTGGAGCATTTTAACCTTCTTTACCTTTGATGCATTCTTAAATTCCTGTGTCTTTTCATTTGCTCCAAACAAAGAGGTCAAGCAGAAATAATACCCTCTCCCTCCATAGTACTTTTTGTTCAGCTTCCATGCAGTGGGGTGGACAGGGTTGGAGTGTGTTACAGTATTCTGGCTCTGCCATTGATAGATAAGGCCCCCTTTCCAGCTCACAGCAGCTTGCAAAGTATCCAATTCATGTGTAGTCCTCCCCCTCTTACATAGGGATTTGGACTACAGCTGCATCCCAGCTTATCAGATACTGGTATCTCAAAGGGCATCTGACTCCAGGATACTCAAAAATGACAGGCTCACTGAAGTAAGGGACAGATGGAGAAGTTAGGGAGAGGTCTCTAACCTCTAGAACTGGGTCATGGCTTATGGAAAGTCTTCCTCTTCCAATAATAGAAACCAGTGAAGGTTGTAGGGTGGTGTGTAAAGCTGAAGTTAATGACCGAGTCCCAAGCTAATAAGATGTGACCTTACATGCTCTGTGGAATCACTGCCCAACAAAACCATGACTCAGGGCCCAAGGATAGGGAACTAGGGCTACGGAAAGAGTGTTTTACATCCCAGCTTCTACCCTGAGATATTTCCTTTAGAGTAAAAGTTCTCCCTCAAAAAAAAACAAAAAACAAAACAAAAAACAAAGAAATGATTGTCATGAACAAATGCCACCAACAGGTAACAAACTAAATACTAGAAGTAACTAGGTGCATTGCAGATGACAGGAAGACTGAAGAAGAGAACTCCATCTTGGGCTAAAAGGCAAGTGATAGGACTAATGAACTAGCTAAATCTCCAAGTTGGAGCACATGTGAAGCTCCAGAGGAGCATGCAGGTGGATGGGGGGCTCCTAGTCCCTCTTCTTTTTCAGTCTGAAGAAATCACCTCACCTTGAGCTTTGCACTCAAGTCAGACCAGTAAATTTTGCATTTATTTGAGAACAGTGACAACTATATTTTTTTCTGATGAATTCCAATTAGTTTAGGATCAGAGGAAAGTAGGGAGCATAGAGAATATATGCTCCTGGGGTCCTGGAAGGGACCTCACAAGGTCATCTTGTCTAGGCCCCTGCTCAAGGCAAGAGCATCCTTGACTAAACCATCCCAGCCAACTCTCCATCTAACCTGCTTCTAAAAAAATTGTGATAGAAATTCCATACGGTCTTCCGGTAGCCTGTTCCAACGCTGACCACCCTTACAGGAGTAGCTTTCGGACTAACCTCCAACCTACATTTCCTCAACAAGAAGTGGGGGGGGGGGGCCAAGAGGGCCCAAAAGCCCCCCGGCTTACCAAGGGCATCCGGGA